TACCATTCATTTCATTCTACAAGTCGTAGGGCTCAATTATACCATTCATTTCATTCTACAAGTCGTAGGGCTCAATTATACCATTCATTTCATTCTAAAAGTCGTAGGGCTCAATTATACCATTCATTTCATTCTACAAGTCGTTTTCTTCTTTCTGAGAAAATGAAGGGAAGACAGAAATGAATTGAGTGCTTTGTTGAGCTCTAAGAAGAAATAGAGGGAGGCTCTCTACTACTCCGTTCGGCATCGTTTGCAGGGTCAGGGGTAAGCGCTACAGAGTCAGGCTGGCCAGGTGAATTAAGGCTGGGCCCCTAATCTGATCCATCTTGAGAGGACAGCTCATCCTGAAGAGTGATGCTTCTACGACGAAGACGAAGAGTGAAGCGGAAAGTTTCTTCAAGGGGACAAGGGATCCTCTACTAGGATGTGCTTCTACTACAACATGATGGATGCTGGCACTTTATTTACCTCGTCAAGATGGAAGATTAGGGCGAGGCTCTAAGTCAATCGCCATTCGTCTGGGTTGGTCGGAGAAGAACAGAATCTTGCAGCTCAATTTATGGTCCACCAGAGTGAGTGTTGACTCACTACCAGTATCTATCTTCCTACAAGTATCTTAGCAATAAATCTAGTAGTACAACCAGTGTTATATTATCTAGCAAAAAATCCATAACTTCTGTGCAATATTGTCTCTTCGATAGTCCTGTAGGAACTGCGGTTGGGATACACACATGGCATGACAGGACGGCTTTGTTTACATGAATACCTAGACATTAACACCTGAGGTTGGTCATACATTCAGCCTAGAAGCATCCATCTTGAGGTCGTCCTTCAAGCAACTTCTTCGTCTAACTTTGCGGTGTCGATCTGCCTCCCAATCATGGTTCTGGTAACTCCGAAAGAACGGCTTCACCACGTTTCTGGTCAAGACAGCACAGCCCTGACGGGCGAGGTGCAGATGGTGATCGGACTCCTTCTACACAAAATTACTTTGTCCAGACACCGGAGATCTGGACGGACCCCGATCATCAGCAACGTTTTCTATTCTGTCAACCGCGTCAGTCGCCTCATCTTGTAGGAGGTCATCAATCGCCGGTAGAAGCTGTTGCAGTAGGATATGGAGGTCAGGCTCAGGGACTACATCAGCAGGTAGGGCATGCACAACATGGGGAAGCTCTTCCGAAGGAATATGTTGAAGATGGGGATCATGATGTAGATCCTGTTTTTAAGGCGGCTCAACTACTTTCAGTGGTCACCATTTAGATTGGGGTCACTGACGAGATCGAAGAGGACGCGCCTCCTTGAGAGAACCAACAGGGGAAATAAATGAAGGGAAAAGTAGGCGAGAGCCATTGAAAAGTTGGCCTCTTCCGTTCAGCATCAGTGACCCCTGACTGCTGACCTTTAATCCTGCACTCTGCTCGCTGCGAAACGATTTACAAAGACAGCAAGCCGGTCGAGACGAGGGGCCACATCAGGATGATGAAATGGGTTATTATAAATATAATGCTCCTCTGCAAGAACTGCATGGTCAAGGGACATACCAACAACAGGAACAGGAACAACTACATGAGGGAACAAGTACCAGAACACAGCAAGTTGCAGTAGGACCGCAGCAAGTTGCAGCAAGTTGCCGGCTTCCGCAGCAAGTAGGATATAGTCAGCATCAGCCTTCAACACACGCTCAAGGGTGTCAACTCCATCAAGCTCCTGTAGCAGCACTTACAAACGGGCAACAAATGTACAACCAACATCATGCTCAGCTCCCTTTTCTTCATCTAGGTCCTCAGATGCAACAACCATTTTCAGGTGGAGTGATGCAGCCTCTCTTTAATGCTTAGACCTTCCTATTCATCTTAAGAGCAGGCATCTTTGACCACGTCCTCGCAAGGGGAAAAGTCGGCTAAAGATGCATTTCAAGATGAATAGAAGTAAGGTCTAATCTCAACATGACACACGAAGTGCAATACGAAGGTGGATCCACTGGAGGGTTTTCACGGGGAACCTCCCACGGAAACTTCTCCGCTGGAGGGTTCTCACGAAAAACATCTCAAGATTAAGGCTACCGGAAAAGCATCCCGAACCTCAGGTGTCATCCCGAGTCCCTGGCCTCTTTTTCAAGGAGTAAAAGGGGTCAGGTTCGACGTACGACGTTTTCAGGAGCGCGGCGCGATAGCTCTAATAAGAGGAGGATGCCACCAGGGAGACGGCTGTTCAAGACGGTTCTGATTTTACAGGAGGGCATGAACTACAGCAACACAAGAATGCTAGTGGAGGTAATGAGCAGCAACATGCTCTACGTTAAGGCTCCTCATGTTGATATAAGTCATCATCCTTTTTGCTACAGGAGAACTCTCTTTGATCTTCTCTCTTTGATATTATCCATTAACGGTCATATTATCAGAGGAACTTACTTAAAAAATGAACATGACTTTTTACAAGATGAATTTTGATTTTCAATATTTATTAGATTGATGTGAGCTCATCCTCTAAAGACCAGGAGGTCAGGAGCAGCAATTTCCGCATCAATGTTTTCAGCGTGGCCCAAGTGGAGTATTTACCATTCCAACTGGTGCCGGTCCGAGTGGTCCTGGTCACTTTTTTTATGCCACTTTTTGCGGAGCCACTACGCCTATGCCACAGCCACAGCCACACGCCAATGCCACTCCACCGGGAAAGCATTTTGAACCCGATGGAGGCACAAGTGGAATCATGAAAGCTTCACGAAATTCATCGAGTCGTGGGAATGTTGCTAGCACGGCGGCTGGTGGTGGGAAGGAACAGCCAAATCCTGCTGGTGTTGGCCCTGCCTTAAATGGCGGTGATCTTCTTAGAAGGTGGCTTCAGGAGTATAATAATTCTTACTATAATGGGCAGCATTGTCATCGTGGCAGAGGACAGCAGAATCCTTCTTGTCCTGCTTCAGATCATGCACAACCTTTTCTCCCGCCTCAACAAGCGCAGTCAGCATCTGCGTCACAACCTTACCAGCAGCAGAACTTTATCAGCATCAACTACCCTGTGTGGCCGCAGCATCCATCATTTGTGGCCGGAGATGAAGACACGACGTCACTCGTCGGCAGAGCAGAGTCGCGTGCTGTAGGAGGTGGCTTTAAAAATGATCTGTCTTCTAGTAGTACTTTGGGTGCTGCAAGAACTGCGTCGTCGACGGGTCGTCCCTTTGGTGCTCTTGTTCAGCAGAACTATGCTACAACTGCTTCTGCTTTTCAGCGTGCTGTAGGAGGTGGATATGGAGATGGACGAAATACTTCTGCGGGGGGAGGCGATCGCGTTCCTTCTGAAGAATTTCGTCCCCTTTTATGGTCAACATTTTTTTTTTCCATATTTCTCCGATCGGCATCTTGGTATCCTTTTGTTCACCTGTATTCTTCTCATGAATTATATCACAAGGTAAAAGGTATTCTTCCTATGAAATCATGATAGTACAAGAAGAGTAATATTAAAGGGGTCAAGGTGGGGGGGCCGAGATGCAATCGAGTCGCAGACTCTAACGCTTGATGACGGAATCGCAGAGGAGTCCGTTCCATCCGCTCCGTCCTCTGGGAATAAAAGCGTCAGGGGTAGGTCACGAACTAGTAGAAAAGAAAAAGGACTCGTCAAAAGGAGGGCGAAAAGCGAACGGAGGAGGTCTTCGACAAGGCAAAAATCTAATACTAATTGTAATAGCTTTACTAGAGGTGGACTGATCGGTCAGTACTATTCAGCAGCAGATGCGGATGCCTCTCGTCAACATCTTTATGTACTCTTCAGTAGAAAAGTTATCTATCATCTTCGGAAGCGAAAAGTGAAAATACGCGAGTAGCTAACTGAAGTAGCAGAGTCATTACGTTGCTCTTGTTTCAGTATCTCGCTTATTTTAAGTAGTTGCTTGCTTATTTCAGTTATAGTGAATAGACCACGTAATGGCGGTGAGATTGATTTTCGTTTCTCTTCTTCTTTTTCTAGTTAGGGCTCCACTTCTGGAATTATCGGCGTAATAGAAGAGAAAGTGATACTAGCACTGCATGTAGAGACGTCTATAGACGAGCTAAGTAGAACTTTTTAACTCCTTTTTAACAAGGACTACTTTTCAACAAGGACTTCTCAAGTCTCAACGACGCGAAAAATTATCTTTTTGTTGGCAGAGTATCTATATGATTAGCTTCCCCGACTAGTACTAGTAATTATCCTTTTTCTAGGTGGGACAGACGAGATTAGAGTAGCATGGGAGGACACCATGATGATGATTAGAGAGTAGTGATCCTTTTTCTAATGCAGAGGTCATCAACAAGGCGAACTACAGGAACAAGTCGTAGGACAGGACCTTTTTCCGACACCTGCACCAGGTCCAGGCACGACTAGCAATACCGGGCCTGTCTCTGGAGAGACAAGTGGAACTACTCAAGAGAGCAAAGGGGCAGAACCTGGAGTAGGAACAACTGGAACACAAGCTCTCGAAAGCCTCAGCGGATCATTCGTAAAAAATAGAGCGGGAACAACTCTCGAAAGCCTCAGCGGATCATTCTTAAATACAGCAGACGGCGATAGTGCTACAGAGGAGTCGCTACCACTTGTGGTGGTCCAACCTGAGAACAACACAACTGAAGACTCTCGTCTGGCTCTCGTCCAAGAATCTGATGTTGACCTCCAATCCTTGAATGCCGTGAATCAAGCTGAATTAAGACATCACACCCGAATCCATCTTCTGAAGCATCTTCCCGAAGAGGTGTTGACCTCCAATCCTTGAATCCGGAGGTTTTTCAAGGAGAAAAGGGAACAAGCGGAATATGCTTCTCGAGATGGATTCGGGATGCTTCTCTAACAGAAGGAACAACTCCTGCTGGTGGCTCATCTCGAGGTCCAGCAGCTGGAGGAGGTTCTCAACTCTACAGAGGAACGAACTTGCTACATCGCAGAGGTGAACATCCTGGTCCGCATCTGCAACTACGTGGTGGTCCGCATGGAACTGATAGTCAGCTAAGCTCTACTCCTCAAAGTCAAAAGTCCGTAGCTCAAGTTCTTGCCATCACTGCTGCGCGTGGAGGAAAGAACCTACAACAACTTGATAAGATTCCCAACACCAAGATGAATCGTCATAGATGTGAAAGCGATGTTGACTCCTCTCTACGTAAAGGCAGCCAGCCACACAGTCTAGATGCTAGGGATCACTTTCAACAGCAACAACCTAAGAATGAAGAGGTACGACGAGAGGATGAAGATGAAGCCGACGACTTTTTACCAGCACCAGCAGACACTAGTAAAGTTGTAGAACGTGGTCTTGCTCAAGGCAGACAAGCAGTCTATGCAGGACTGGGGCATGGAGATGATCCTCTACCACAGGAACAAGAAGGCAAAGAACAAGGCAAAGATCAAGTGCTTCCTCTGCCCCCGTGTGAGCAGGAGCAGGAGCAAGAAGGGGAAAAACAGGCAGGAGAAGCTGCAGTAGATGAGGTGGCAAAAGGACTGCTGCAACAGCTTCTACACCAGAGGGGCGAGGATCTTAGAAGTTCTGCTCAGCTCGGTGACAGCCAGCCGCACCAAGCCGACAAGAAATTAGATTATGGCTTCGAACTTGACCTTTATTTGTACGTAGTTCCTATGAGAATTCACATGAGATCATTACAATGTGATGTAAGTAGTTGTCTCAATTTTTGCCATCATGAGTTCATTTCTTACCGAGGTAGGCAAATTCAGGCTGTTGATGTCTCGGCTTTCAGTCGTGATCATTTGCAGACTTTAACTACGGTCCTCAGGCAAGGTGATATCCGGAGAACACGCATGACATCATATGAGATCATGAAGACAATGCGATGTAGTTGTCTCAATTTTTGCCATCATGAGCGGGAACCATCCAAACTACTGTCTTTGTTGTAACTACTTAGAATTTACTTAAAAAATACAACATCACAAGAAGCACTGTTCTATTTTTTACAAGCAACAGAAGAAAGACCTTTGATCCCTTGTTCTGCTTCTAACCTCAGCAACAGAAGCAGCCACTGATTTTCCCAGTCAACACCGAGGAGGAAAATACTGCACCCCAACTGTTGTCCTCAGAGTCCCCTCGGTCAGGAGATCCTCCCGGCAAAATTTCAATGCGGTGGATTCCTTTGCAACCTGGGGAGCGAGCAGTACATAGCAAGAACGACCAGGAGACAACTACACTGAGATTAAGGCTACCGGCGCTGAAGCACCCTCAACATCATCTTTGCTGCTTTTTCTACTCGAAAAAGAAGCCAAGGATGCTCTCTCTCTCTCTCCAAGGATGCTCTCACGTGGTAGCTCTAATAAGAGGCTCATCTCTAAAAAAAGTAGCTCTACCAACCGGCACAGTGTTTTCTTCCCATCAGCAGGATCGTGGAATTTCACACCAAGATCACAACATTCCTTTTGATGAATCTTCAGCAGATACAGGAGATTATAAATCTTTTCAACCAGCAGAACAGCGGACTCCTGCTTCAGCAATGCAGTCTTCTGGTCGTGGTCTTCTTCCTGAGGTTGGTAAAGGACAGGGACATCATCTTCGTCCAGAAGCATCTGCATCCAGTTCTGGCACTTCTTATAGCGGAACGACTACATTGGAAGTGGAACATCAAGGAGATCTTCGTTCTTCTTCAGATGTAGTTAGTAATAGTATCATAAACATTTTCAAGGAAGACTGGAAAGACGTGGGTCTGAGTAGACGACAGTCGCGAGAGTTGCTCGGACGTCCGCCACCAAAAATGGAGAATTTTGCTTTGTCGAATGCTAGGATGAGTCTGGCTAGCCAAGCGGAAGGAGACAGGGAAAACGCAAGAGCACACCTTCAGGGATTTCTAGATTTACGCTACCAGGGAGAGAATACTTTTGTGTTTAAAGAAATGTAGTAGCAAAGTCTTTGGTCTTCCACCGCGGTTCAAAAACACTATCTGAGTATGCTTGCATTAAATCTTGATATTGTAGTTGTACTCTCACATCCTAAAGAAGCTAAGGGAATGGCTCTAGTACATGATTTGCATTTCTTTATAAGTGTACGTAGCTAGTTCAATAGTTCAACACTCAGGAGAGCCTTTTTCTCGCCTTTATCTCGCCCTCAATTCGACGACCTACCCTAACAAGCCCTAAGCCCTGTCTATCCCCCCTACAACCTTGCTTCTTCTCTGCCCTCTTTCTTCATGAAAAATCAAGAAGAAAGCGCTGAATCGTGTGAAAGACAAGATAAAGCCATTACTCGAGAATATAGCAGAGGAAGCAAGGGACGCATACTTCTGGAAAAAAATTTCCGAGGTGCATGCCAGAAACAGCGACTTTAAGTTAAGGCTCAATACAATTGATTGAAGCACGAAAAGGATCGGGTTGTGAAGTAGCTGCTTTTTTCTACCTCTGTTCTGTAGTTGCACCAGTATGATCATGGACTGAGCACTTCTTAATCTACACTCGACCTCCGCAAGAAGATCTTCCTAAGTACATAGACAGCACTCTTTAGATTCTACAAAGTGTTATTTCTAGGAGTTAAAGGGAAGAAATTGAAAGGAATTGAATGAGTATATTGATATTGTTTCTTTGAAGACGTCACAGAAACACTGTCAGACCACGTCTCTACGGTCACTATGAAAGGTGATAACAGGGACATTAGCATGCATCCTCGCTAATTCAGGGAGCTCTTGATGATTTCGTCCGATTTCGTTTAGGACACTCGATCGATTGGTTCAGGGCCGCCCTCTTCCCAGAATACGAAGGAACGGGTAAAGCACTGCCGATTAAGAGTGGCCCCTTCGGCTCTAGCCAAGACCAGAGAACGAGGACGATAACAGAGAAACGTACTTTGATTCTTCGTCCGTCTATGATTATAATCTTTTCTTTTTGGGCTTGTCCTGATCATGTGGAGATTCAGTGTAGATTTGCTGTAGAGGCTGTTGTGTGTAGATATGAAGAAAACCAATAGGATAGACCTTTTTGTGAACTATTCATGAAGACTTGATACTAGATAAGGACTAGATACTCCGACTACTTGCTTGGGGCTCCTCACTCTGCTTCTTCAGTTTTTACGATTTAAGGTGTCGACTCCACTATTCTGCCTTTTCAAACCTCTACATTGATCAAACCTGCATGATGCCCTCCATCTACATCTACATCAACATCTACGTATATATTAGAGATCACTTACCTATTTTATTCATCATTGAGTGATCATCTTATACCTTCACAAAAATAGAAGGTGTCGACTTGATGCCGGACTTTGAATGGGACCCTGCGTTTTGGGCCATGGAGCAACTCCAGCGTCATACAGAAGAAATCGAAAAACGAATAGCAGAGGCGTCCGATCTATCGTTCTGCTTCCCGCTGCCCCCGCCTATTGTGGTACTACAACTCCTACTTATAATATACCTTGTTGTGGTACAGGTACTACAACTCCTGCTTTTTATACATAGATTGATGTTGATGTACACGTAGTTCTTCACAATTTTTGTGTTCCTCTTCTCCTTTCCTCTTATAGCCTGTTGTACACGTAGTTCTTCACAATTTTTGTGTTCCTCTTCTCCTTTCCTTGTCATCCTCGTTAATGAATTACTTAATCAATGTGTCATGTTAGGAGTTGACGTGCGACTACTACTAGATGATAGTCCGTTCCTTACTACAATATTTTACGCGAGGTCTATCAATCTTGTTAATTCCTTTTATCGGTTTGCAGGGCCCTGAAGATGAGGAAGCGTACCTACAAAGCCGAGAAGCGCAAGGCCATGGAGGGGCACGCAGGCTATTATTAAGGCAACCCTACTGCTCTCTGTATTTTTGTTCCAATCCTGTCTATACTGAAGTTTAAGAGTATTTGTTGATTGAGACATCATCAACAACAACACCTTATAATTTGAGAGTCCTTATAATTTGTTGATTGAGCAGTTGTAATCCTAATCCTAAACCTAATCTGGATTTTTCTTCTACTAAGCTTAGGCGTTATCTCTCGTGGAACAGTGGGCCATCCTCAAGCCTGTGCCGAAGCGTGCAAGTATGCGGGTAAGCTAGAAGGGTGCAAGTTGGGTGAAAATTGTCCAAAATGCCACTACTGCGTTTGGTCGAAAAGGGGTTGTACCTCACGAAAACAAAGAGGACTACTACTTGCCACGACTACTAGTAGCACGACACCAGGACAGGAGGTTGAAGGTGAAGGGGATCACGTCAACATCAACAAGGTGCTGTGTGAGGAAGATGAGAACGCGGCTGATGGGCGGAACAACAACAAGTTCTCCTGTGAGGATGATGCTAGCAAGGAAGAAGGGCAAGAGGAACAAGAAAAAGAGTCGTCCGTTGCAGAAAGAACAGCTTCGAACAATAGCGGCAGGTCCTATTCGAAAGACGCTTCTGAGCCAGCAGATCGTCCTAGTGACGTGACGCGTTGCCATAGAGAAGCAGAAGCCGAGCGGGGGATGCCGAACGCGCACGTCCTCAGCGTCGATGAGGAAGTGCCATCGTCGTCTGTTGGAGCATCTTCAGGTACTCGAAGAAGTTATCTCACTGCCGCGGCTTCGATTACGGCTTGTACTAGATGACCTTATTCACATTCATCTTGAGAGAGCAACATCTTCTTGCTTACCCTGTTGTCAAAGGGAAAGAAAACGTGCCGAAGATGACGAGTTGCGTTCAAGATGAATCTTCTAGGTATAAGCTCTAATTCGCACTCTAGCGGTAAAACATCAGCTGCCTCGGCGTCAAAGAGCAGTATTCAAGTTGGTCGAGAGCAAGACAGAAATTTTGTCGTCGACAGCTTGTCCGCAGGCGAACAGCTGGTACACGCGGTGGCTTCGGCATTGAATGACACCTCAGAAGTGCCTGGGATCGACGCCTGGGATCGACACCAATGGAGTAGTGCTTCAAGCAAGAACGAAAAAGCATCTTCTTCGTGGAGGGGTAAGGCGTCGCCTTCATCAGATACGAAAAAGGGGTCTTCTTCTTGGTCAAGCGGCTCCGTGAGTATTAAGGGGGGTGGAAGCGGCTCCGTGAGGACTAAGGGATCCTGGCGGGACGAGAGAACTTCTAAGGGATCCTGGCGGGACGAGAGAACTTCTAAGGGATCCTGGCTGGACGAGAGAACTTCTAAGGGGTCCTCTGGGAGCAAGAGCTCCTCTGGGAGCAAGAGCTCCTCTGGGAGCAAGAGCTCCTCTGGGAGCAAGGGCTCCTCTGGGAGCAAGGGCTCCTCTGGGAGCAAGGGGCCCGGCACTGAAAGAGCTTCGGAGAAAGGAAAAATTGGAAACGGCAAAGGCAGACCGTAGCAGATTCTGTCAATTTGTTCTCCTTGAAAAGGTCTTTTTGAGAAGAGCAATAAAGGGTCACTCTGAAGTATCTAAGAAAGTAAAAGCAAGCCATTCATATTTATTACACTACTCCGAAAAAGGCGGTATAAGTTGTGCATACTGGTCTAAAAAGGAGCTCACCAGCGCGATTGGTAGAACAGAGCCTACAGTCTTTTTGAATAGGCTGATGAAATCCCTCATTATTTACGGAACGTAATACACACAAGATAAGAGAGGCTATGTATACTCGACAACGAATACGAGCAAGAAGCTGCAAGATTGACGTAGGTACTTAGAAATCTCATGCACTTAGGTAGCCCCTCTACCTCACGAATAGGCACATCAATCATCTAGGAGTAAGTAGTTCTTGCTAGTTGTTGCGTGTCTTCTACAACAGTTTTCCTGTCGTTCTACTGCTTTCACTTAAAACTTCTCAAGATTGCTTTTTACTCTTCTCAAAAGCACCAGGGAAGTAGATAGAGCATCCTCTTGATTGGAGATCGATTGGCCGAATAGGTACTACTAGATGAACAAGAACGCGGATGAATATAAAAGCTACCAAATTAGATCTGAGAACTTGCGTGACAGAATTTAGAAGAAAGAGCTTACTCGTATTCTGCGATTGACAGCTGTTGGTCCTAAGAAAACTTCCTGTGACTCCTCAAGAAGAGTCCGGCTCTGTTTTCAGAGGATCTTAAAGTCAGTCAATCTAGGAGCGAAAACTTAAAAGAACAAACTTAGAACTATATATACTACGGGTACGGACTAATAGAATCTATAGAAGTTGTAGACGGACGCTTCTAAAGAACTAAAAACTTAGATGATTCCCGCTCTTTAGCAACAGGAGAGTGAGTCCCGAACGATTTCGAAAAGCAATCATCTTCCTAGAACTAGCTAGGTGTTGTAGCTATATAATCCCATAGTGTCCGACGCTGTTGTCCTTGTGGTAAAGGTTCGACACTTGTGGCAAAATAGAACTGCAACCTTAGTAGTAGGTATAGATCGCATGAAAGAATGTGTAAGAAGGTACTTGAATAATAACAATAGTTTTCCAACGCGAGAAGCCGTCAGGAAAATCTTGGGCACCTTGCCAAATAGATTCAAACCATCCATAATTATACTCAAATCATCCATATAGATTCAAGTCATATTATTGAAGAAAAAAGAAGAAGAACGAAAAACAAGAAGCGTGCCGTCATCAGGTTGAACACAATAAGAGTAAGGACTTGAAGAAGTAGCCCTCAATGGTCTGGTCTTAAAACTTTCTGTTTATGTATATACACTACTACGGACGTAGAGGTGCGGCAGTCGCAGCTGCGGGGAGGTCGGTGCCGGACAACACTGGGATCACCCTTTCGGCGTTCTCGGAATACAAACAAAAAAAACGGTGCCCCGTGGAGGCACCTGGTTGATTGATTGACTGATTGATTGATTGATCCTCTGTCAACGTCTGTAGTTTAGGACCTGAAAAATAGTCGTCGTAGATAGTTCTAGTCAGTCAATCATTATAGATTCTTCAATGCCCCACGAACATTACTACTACTACGGCTACTGTTTTGCATTTTCCTTGTCTCTCATTGTCCTCGCAAATGCAAAAACAGAATTAGTCAAACCTAATTAAAAATCTTTGCTACCTCTTGAATGGGTACACTACTACTACTACTACTACTTACTTTACAATCAACCATAACACATTGGAAGTCTTTAAACACCGTACTAGGGATAGGTGGTAGAACTAACAACAGATATTTTGAAAGCGTCGTATATTTTCACTTACTAGACTACGCTGTCTAGCAGGTTCTAAACCTTTCGTGTATGATTTTTTTTTTGCCTCGTCTATCTATAAAACGCTCGCTTTCAACAAGTACATCAGCTTCAACATATTCAATGGTGAGATGAAGAATGCAAATGAAAAATAATGAGACAAAGGGAAGTCATACACATGTACGAGCCAAACCTTTAGCATTAAGAGAAGCGCTACTTGACCAAAAAGAAGGGATTGACCTTCATAAAGGGACTAGCCCAAAATAGAGCTAAGTTAGTAGTAAGTGGAAAGACCTAGCGGCACAAGGGAAAGGGTGTGTTCAAATCCCTGTACACCTAGCCAAAAGGAAGGCGGAGCGGTTTTTTATAAAGGAAAGGGTAAATAGTATGTTTCCTCCCCCATCTACACCTCAATGCAAGTGAAGAGAACTGCTTATAAGGAGCTCTCAATAAGAATAAGCAGGAGCTGACCAATAAGAATAAGCAGGATATATATTTTTAAAAAGGGCTATATAGTTAACTAGGTAGTGGTTGCACGCACCACAATGACCAAGTTGTAGAAGCTTATCTATAACACTTACATATTTAAGACATATGAGTTTACGATTTTACATAGTCGTCCTCGTTTTTCACTCCATAGGAGAGTAACCTATGGAGCTTATATTTATATTTTTTCATCCTTTGCTAAACATTCCTTTGATATAAGGTGATCCTAATACATAGCCACTCTAATACATGGCCACGAATGGTTTTGGATCTGTCCTCGGTAAACCTGCTCCAATCGGTATAAACTTTCTGGATTGGTCTCATGACTCACCGTCGCTTGAGAAGGCAATTGTATGTGATTGAATTCGGATTTCCCTAAAAGGTCGAGTTGGATGGTTCGTCGAGATGTGGAAAATATGAGATAGGAGAGAGAGGTCGTATTACGCGCCGTGCTTGCTTTCATGCGACGTTAATAGTTTATAGTTAAATGGGTTTTCCGTGTATGACGTGGAGGGTGCGATCTTTGGGAAGGCTAGTGGTAGTGAACCGGTACCCATGGTTACCACTAGTATGGCGGCTTCCCATAGATACGAGCACCCGCCCCCTGTTGCTCCCCGCCTGGAGTTTTGGGGGTGGGACGCCATGGGCTGAAGCATCCTGGAAAATTAGCATTTAACTACAATAGTTTATCTGCTCTTGCCTTGCGTTTTTAACGTCCGCGACCTTTCGTTTAGAGGGAAAGAGTGTGAGGGTAAAGGTACTCGATTTGAAACGAGTGAAACAAGAACTTGTCTAGACAACAACTGGGTTTAGGGGTAAACTACTCTTGAATATGCATTTTGCCTCGTTTGGGATCTAAGGACGCTGGAAGTCTAAACTACACTTTTCGATAGGTACAGGCAGCCAGCTGCCACAAGGCTTAAGGTCGTCGCAACTGGCCACATCAGGGGCACACACATGACATGAGGCAAGCGTTTAAAAAGTATGACTATGACAGACATACTATGACGACTTCAGACTTATTACTATGTGGACCACGTCAGACTCACTATGACCACTTCTGGTCAGGAGTCTAGCGGAACTATGACTAACTATGACTAATATGCCGACACTAAGGAGCAGGTTCTTGAGAGAAGTTGGAATATTATGACTATAGAGATGGCGGTTGAGTCAGAATTTCCCCATTTATTGAGGGAACACACACACACGCGCACATATACATAACTGCTACGCTATGGCTTCGACATAATTTTGCTTCAAGTACATGCTATACCAGACTTAAAAGAAAAAATACTGGACAACACACGGTCATACAATCAATGACGAATGGAGACGATAGTTTCGATACCCACCGATGATGATGAAAGAAGAACGAGTCTCCTATTCAGTATAATAGTGCAGGCTACGCAGCCGAGTAGTTCTGTATTTTCTTTTCGCGAAGCTGTCGCACAAAAAACAAGTCCAGGCTGAAGCGAGACCCCCCGAAATCTGAAATCTGAAATGAGGATAAAGCTGGCCCACCAAAGTATTAAACTTACCGACCCACGATCGATGCGACTTCTTGATAAATCTCTATGATTGCAGCCATAGGACAGGCCCTCCCGCTGGGTATTTAAGTGGAACTATTGCGGGAAATGGTAGACCCAGGCCCCAAAAAAAAACAAGGCCCGATCCGCGTGCGTGAGTGACTGAGTGTGAGTTTAATTGTCTCACTGGTGGTAGAAGAAAATGACTACCAGAGACGGATGTTCGATAGAAGTGGAGACTAGAAGAAATTTTCATACTTCATTTCGAGAGCCTGGAGACAGTTCCTATTCAGCAGGTACAAGTATGTTCCCTTAAATGTATACTTGGTAAGGTTGCTCTCCTCTGGAGGTACTACTTCCCTATGGGATCGCCTCACACGCAGACACTAATAGCTACATAAGAGATGTTGACATGACATGACAGCATCTGTACAACCTAGACATGTGTGCTTGACCTTACTTGAGCTTAAGATCTATGAATGTAGCACTGAAGATGATTGGAGGTTTATTGATACTTCTGAACTCATGGTCTTCATCGCCCAAAAATTACTAGCATAATATTCTCCTTCTCGACGCCCATCCAATAAGAGATCAGTGACTTCTCTGTCAATTGCTTCATTTTTCATCAAAAAAAATGACGATCATATTCTCTACGTCTAGCTGTGCTTGGAATCTTTTTCGGTGTGGTGCTGATTTACTGCGCGTTCTTAGCGCCTTGTTTCTCTTAAAGCATGTCGTGGCTGCGGGAGCTCGGAGTCGGTTTGAGAACTTGAAGGGAGGTTTTGCAACTAGTACAACATCAAAAGAGAAGTATTCTGTTAAGGCTTCGGCTTGCTTTTTCTAGTTGTACTTGGTTAATTTATTTTGTCCGTGGGTACTTCGCGTAGGGTAATTCCTATTTCGCATTCATCGGTTCTAAGATAGAAGGGAAAGCGACCACTACCTGAAAAATTGATACTTAGAAGGCCATGTGAAGTCGAATATGTTTACCTCTTCTACTAATGCTTGCGCTGTCCGTTTGGATTGCTTCTCCTGGAAAACGCAGAGCTGTTATTTTATCCTATTCGCTGCTCGCTATCTTGACGTACTCTTCTCGAGGATACCTAACCCGCGCGACTGGCTTGCCTGGGTATATCTTTCAGTCCTGAAGTTAGTGCTGCTTGCTCTCTCGCTGCTGTCAATGCTAGTCCTCACATGTAGGCGTCGCAGGCGCCTAAGAGCTGCGGATGCGATTCGTAGTGTGATTTCGAAGAGCAGGGCGGCATTTCGACGAGGTGGTAGGGCAGAAAATGGAGAACATAAAAATGTTGACACGAGTAAATCCAAATATGCTCAGATCACAACCATAGATGAACTACAAGAAGAAGAAGAAGAAGAGGAAGAAGAAGAAGAACACTACAAGGATATTAGCGATGTGCCGTTCAATGCGGACACAGACCACCACTACTACACAGAGGACCAAGAAGTGGAAGACAGTCTCGATTTTGGAACATTACTCCTCGGTAGCCTAGTTGCTGCATCCGTATTATCAAAGTACAAGAGTTTCGTGGAGGTAGCGTGGCTATGGAGCCACTTTCTCGAGGCAGTGGCGGTGATACCACAGTACATTCTATACTATCTGCTTCTGCAACAACGATCTGACCTAGTAGAGCCCGGCACGGCTCTGCGAGGAGGACAACGAAATACCAAACAGACGTGTCGTCAGGACGAGCTAAAGCCTGTGCGGTCTTACCTAATCTTGGTTGGTTCTGTCCGTTTTCTCTATGTCGCGAGTGCATTTTGGAAGAGTTTTTCTAAGTCCGAGTGCGCTCACGACCCCTTAAGGCTGTGCGCAGCTGGCGTTTTGTTTTTGCCTGAGTGCATTTGTTGTCTAGCTTTATTATGTAAGTGGAAATGCATCAGAGAAGCGTTGCTGAAACTGGACAAGTGGTGTCAAAGAAGAAGCAAAGAGTACCATGCAGAGCTCGACGATGAATATTCCGCCCAGCACAATCCAACTACACTGTAAATCAAACCGAGCGATTGGTGAAGACTGACCAAGACTATGGTCTTAGACGCAGATTGATCATCTTGGGAATATTTAGCCTGCTTCAGAGCAGATGAAGATGAGAGAATTATTCGACGTTCTACGAGACGATGAGAGGCGAGGAATTGAAAGGAACTTCACGATAGAAGATTCAAGTACCTCTAGAGGCGAAAGAAGAAAAAGATCTGCTCTAGAGGCGAAAGAAGAAGCAGATCAACAAAATATCCATGATCAAGATCATGGAAAACTAAGATCCGCGTAATTGAGTACCTACTGCTCGATGGGTCGCCTCTTCCCCTGAAGGTGCTACCTTGTTCTTAATTCTCTGAAACCAACTCCAACTTCGTTTCAAAACCAATCGCAGGTGGTGGTTTTATTTTTTATTGGAAAATGTGTCTAGAAAAAATCCTACATCTTAAATTGGTCTCCATCTTAAGTTGGTAGATTCCATCTCAGATAACAAATTTCCGGTCAATTTTCGGGTTATCCTTGTACAGTTTTTATTCTTATTGCCGACGCTGTTCTCCTTAAACTTGAAGCAAGTACTGGAAAATTTTGATTTTGCTTCTGAGATTCAGTTCTAAAAACCTATGTTGGGTAAAAATGGTAAAACAGCAGGACTAAGAAGATGTGTGTCTTAATATCTCCTCGTCGCTTTCTTGCTTTTAGGCTGGAGTGAAGGTATCGCACGACCTCCTTGTCTGTTTGGCTAACGCGCGTCAAACGTATACTGCAGTAAAGAATTATATCTGCAAAAGTGTAGAAAAAAGACTGAAGTAGTGAAAGGAGCACAACTTGCTCATTCACATCTTCTATACCCCACGAATGGTTACGCTACTGCTAGTACTCGACGACCATCTTCAGCATTCCCAACCCCTTCTGAGTAGGCCAAGAACAACAGCGATGCATCGTCCCGTATTTTTATACTCCACCGATGATCTGGGACGAGCATAAGTCTACGTAAAAAGCGCAAAGCATATCTCAACCTACGGCCACCTACAAGCAGCCAGCCACGATCTTTGTAGGCCCAATCAAGACAAGGATCGAGTAAGTTCTTCGACAAGTCCCGCAGCGCGACACCTTCGCGACGCCTATTTGTGTCCCTTCCCGCAGAAAGCCAACCTCATCAACAGACCAAGAAGAGTGACAACATCGAAGATGGCAACCTTGGTCCAGGAGACGCCAGTCTATGCTGGCCACGAGATAGGTCATTTGAGTAACGCTGCAGCAAAATGGGTAGATTTGAGTGGATCGTGGAACCTCTTCCGAAGAGCAGGAGACTTACTCCACCTAGGCGGAACCTTGTTCTTGCTGGTTTCGATACTATTGCGGCGGTCAACTCTAGGGATAAGTTGGAAAACGCAATTCCTATATACGGTGGTGTTTTTTACGAGGTAATGAATATGTTGAATATTACAGTTCTTGCTGGGGGAGTGGGGCAGCCGCCGTGTAGCCTTGTCCACATGCACTGTATCCGAAACCTAACCTGGGGCACACGCAATGACTATTTAATCGTGTCTGTGCTACAACTTTTTAGTAGTTCTCAACAAGCTTATTTCTGGTCTTCCGCAAATCGGCTAAGCGAGAAGATTTTAAGATTTTGATATAGAAAACTCTCGACAGGTACCTCGATCTCCCGGACAACATCTGGACTTACAGAAATTTTCCGCAGGAAGCAGCAAAAATGGAATATCTCATTCTTTTCAAGGGCACCTACATGCTGGTGCAAGTAGTGATCCTCTTTCTCTTCTTCCGGTTTAACGCTGCAACAAACGGCACCTACGAAACCCATAAAGACACTTTCAACATATGGTTTGTGCTGGTACTGAATTCTTACTACTGTTCGTATTCCTGTGTAGAAGTTCGTATTTCCAGATTTACAGATCAACATGGTCTCCGAAGTAAGAGTATTAAATGTGAATAAATTCGCAAAGGAACAACAACACCTTTTTTACAACAGGTCACTTGATAGAAGAGAGATCAGATTCGGAACTCTTCATCCAAGAAAGAATTTCCAGTAAAAGAACTTCCACCTCCAAAGCATCCACCTCCAGAACCTACCCACGACAACTCCACCTTCACCACCACCACCTACCTCACCACCACTAAAATTCCAACACTCAGTCAGGTCCCCTACTTCATCATCGCCGCTCTTTTCGCCCAAAGAAGAACCGTCTCGGAGATCTGCTGGACGTACAGCGAGTATATAGAAGCGTTCGTGATGGTCCCGCAATACGTGTTTCAGTACCGTAATGAGAAACAGTCACCGGGGAGAGGGGACCGGCATCCTAGTGTCTTTATTTGGATTATGTGCATCGGGCTGTACCGATGCCTCTACTTCCTGAACTGGATGTGGAAGGAATTGCACAACGACTACGTTGCACCACATAGCTTGATTGGTACAATTTTGTGATTTATTGTTACGAGCACCATCATCTTCGCTATTTTTACCTTGTTAGTAAGTAGGTTAATCATGTGGAGCAGAGCGCAACTTGAATGTGTAGGTGCAACAGCTACGATGTCTAGAACAATCTTTACCTGCCCAACAGGTGGCAGCCTCCAAATCCTCTTATTCTCGGATTTCCTGACCTACTATATCTGCGACATATCATGCCTGCGCACGCTGGTTCTCTATTCCGATGACAAAATTAATGATGCGGGTGACGCCATCGAATTGCGGGTACTGTCTTTAGGAACTAAAAAATAGTTATTTTTAGATCCTCATCCTTTTCCTCGTTTTGGTTTCTCCTCTCACATGCATAGTTGTGGGGTCTCTTCTCGTCACAGAGTCACCGCTATTGAGGTTCTCTTCAAAATCAACAGTCTCAAAATATTCAATTCTATTCTATCAATCATTCGTCCACAACACTATCCCAAGGCCTTCCCATCGCGAGCACCTGAAGTAGAGCAGAAACGACTGAGAAGGCGAAACCGCAACGAACCTGGGTATCAGCAGGTCGGCACAGATCTCGGTGACCCTACTATGGTGGGGAGACCCGAGTTCGATGATATTTTGTAACCTTGCTCGACGAAAGAGGAATACAACTAGTCGCAAGCAACGTCGTTGCTAGATTATAGGCGTTGCAGGAGAGCAGGAACGGAGGCTCGCGGCTGTAGTTCTAGCACTATAGTATAGGGCAGAGAAGTAACTTCCGAGTGTTCCAATTTCCTATGCACGAAGGAGCATAAACGGCAAATCAAACTGACGAATGAAAAATCCTGTTACAAAGTTATAGTTCAACTCGTGTAGTTAATTGGTTGTTGTTGTACCTGAAACAAAGAAGATCATTCCCAAGATCATACCTGAAACAAAGAAGATCATTCTACAACCAGACCTCAATATTACAGTCTCACCTATAATTTCCCTTTCCTCCCAAAACTGACTCAACCAAAATGATTAGTACCCTGAAAAGCCCAAAAGACCAACAAGAGCTCTAGCAATCCTTGGGAACAACAACCATCACAGCGCCGACTTCGGTTTAGAAGCGGTCGGCGCTGTGATAGTTGTTGTTCCCACCGCGGGGGTCGCATTAAATGACAGATGCCATGAAGAGCAGAGCTACAATTATGCGTCGTGTGAATCATGGTCTACACTTGACGAATACGAATGGTCTCAGAATGCGTGAAATTTTGTCATCCGTCGAGAAGTTGTGGACAGTGCAAGTTTCTTCATCAGGATGATTGTGATCTGTTGGGTGTCACAGATGGATCTTACTTGGGTGTAACAAATGTTCTATGTTGTATCCTCTTCAGGCGGTCTCAATGTATACCTGTCCAGCAAAATCGTTCTGTTAGTAGGCGGTCTCAATGTGTACCTGTCCAGCAAAATCGTTCTGTTAGTAGGCGGTCTCAATGTATACCTGTCCAGCAAAATCGTTCTGTTAGTACTTGAGAACTACCGATCGGGATCGGATGAACTTATGCTGATCTTGGTGAGCCAGATCTAGTTTATTAGGACTTGTGATGTGATCTTCATCCTTACAAACACATGATGCAGAACTATTAGTACGCGATGGTGATGAGGTCAGACCCGCGAGGCCTTCATCTATAGTACGTAGTACCATCTCCGAATTCGACGTCGCAATACGTGACCGAAGGAAGCGTCATCCCAACGCGCATCTTTGCTCCACTTCTCTACCAAATGGGTGTTTTCTCCCCATGGTACTAAATATGGTCGCAAATTTTCTCAATTAAATGACTGGGTCTATCATCATCATCATCATCATCTCGCTCCACAACATACTCGCAGGGCCTGAGAAGTAGAGTGGCATTCATATGTTGAATGTCTGTGACGTGTGGAAGTGGCTCCCACCAACCGTATCTAACGCCCTGCGAATACCAATGTAGTCGAATACGAAACGCATATGAAGTTGTCTGCGAAGTAATCTTCTTCTTCCTACTTTTTTTTGTTTTCTTTCCAGAGAATGAAGACCTTGTAGATGAGCTTCTATCTATATTCTTCCTATTTATTTTACTGACTCACACTACCTAGCGACAGTATCAAGAATAAGTTGAACAAAATAAATATTTTCCAAGCTTCCACTACGTACAGTGACAAAAATATTTGCTTGTTCTATCTTAACATGATAAGGTATCTTGTCATCAAGTAATTTTTCTGCTACCGTAAGTAAGAACACAGCTTGTATTAGCAGTTGTGGTGGATCAATTGATTTGTCCACCTTCGCTGTTCTGATGCATCTGTGTACAAGACAAGGATACACTAGATTATTATATATGGTTTTCTCATCATGCTCAACTGGGAATTTGGTTTCAACAGTATTGGAATCAAAGACTTCCTGAATTAGTACCATACTATTTCTATTTTTTTCTGAGATCCTAGTCAGTGGCATTCACCTAGTCCTCGCCGTCGGTTCTCTGATCGATGATTTTTTGGTTTTTCATGTGACAACGCAGAGCCGCTTTGACTACGAACTGAAAGACAAAATGATCTTTACCCTCGCACATTTGAAGCAACTATTCACTGTTAGCCATGAAAATACCCACTCCGGCTCACACGTGTGGGAGGAGTTGAGTATCATCAGATATCTAAAGTACAAGAGAAGAACTATTAATCTGAGCCTCGAACCGGAACCAGAACCGGAGGACTGATATTCTTTTTACACGTTGTGCGCAAAGATCCAAACTTTCGGTGCTCTGTTTACTAGTCTACTTGTTGAGCTCATCTAAACTCTTGTGTGCAATCTGTAAAGTGGAGTTTTAAGCCTATATGCAAAACGGCTTGTTGGTCGTACTGTATTAATATTCTCCTTACACGTTCGCAGAGATTCAGACTTTCGGTGCTCTGTTTACGAGTTTACTTCAGCTCATCTAAACTCTTGTGTGCAGTCTGTAAAGTCGTGGAGTTTAGAGTCTATATGCAAAACGGCTTGCTGGTCGTACTGTCTTACACACTGTCTACGCAGCAGAAAAATATAGATAAGTTGTAACCCGTCTTGACTATGTTCTTGCTACACAATATTCAACGACCTGATGTCTAACTCAGTGCCTTTCTTGAATGTTTTTCAGACCTGACTACACTGATGCTAACTCTTGACGGCATTGCCTGAGTTTGAAAATTACGGCAAACTACATAACAGCCTGCAACAAGAAGGAACGATAGATCAAGGATGTAGATGTCCACGGCAAATTGTTTCCACGCTTCAAAGGCAGAACACTTAGCCTAACACACTAGTCCGAGGGCCGGGGGTATACTGTTAGACGTTCCGATAAATTCCTTTTTTTTACGGAGGAAGTGCCTCACGTGCCTCACGTGCTGCAGCTGGAAGATTCTTTTTATCGAAGCAGCAACGTCATTGCAATCACTGCCGAGTCGTGTGGATCGATTGAGAAAGCACATGAGAAGACGTAAAAAGGGAGCTAATAAATCTCATAAATTAATAACCAAAAAGCAGAAGGAAAATATAGAAAAAAGCAAAAATCTCTCTCGTGCGTTTGAAGTCAAGGGCTAAGATCCCAAAACTTTTTGACTTTAAGCCGTTCCGCTGAGATTCAACTTCTTGGATTTGCATTCTTCAAATTTCGAAAATTCTCCACGTTTTATGGTCGTTTTGGGATTGAATTTTGTGCGTTTGAAGCGCTAAAGCCCCAAAGTTTTTGACTTTCAGCCCTTTCCCTGCGATTCAGTTTCTTGGCTTTGCATTTTTCAAATTTCGAAAATTTTCCACATTTTGTTGCCGTTTTGGGGTTGAATTCTGTGCGTTTGAAGTGCTAAAGTCCCAAAATTTTTGATTTTAAGCCCTTTCCCTGAAATTTAATTCCTTGGATTCGCGTTTTTCTAATTTCGAAAATTTTCCACGTTTTTTCGTCGTTTTGGGATTAAGTCTCGCGAGTTTGAAGCGTGGAGATCCCAAAATTTTTGATTTTAAGCCCTTTCCCTGAGATTCAATCTCTTGGCTTCGCGTTTTTCCAATTTCGATAATTTTCCACGTTTTTGGCCGTTTCGGGAGTGAATCCCGTGAGTTTGAAGCGCTAAGATCCCAAAATTTTTGATTTTGTGCCCTTTCTCTGGAATTTAATGCCTTGGCTCCGCGTTTTTCAAATTTCGAAAGTTTTCCACCTTTTTCGTCATTTTGAGGCAGAGCCCTTTGACTTTGAAAAGCTAAGATCCCAAAATTTTTGATTTTAAGCCCTTTCTCTGAAATTTGATTCCTTGGATTCGCGTTTTCAAATTTCGAAAATTTTCCACGTTTTGTCGTCGTTTTGAGGTTGAGTCTCGTGAGTTTGAAGCGTTAAGATCCTAAAATTTTTGATTTTAAGCCCTTTCCCCCGAAATTCAATCCCATGGCTTCGCGGTTTCGTGGTTTCGTGGTTTCATGGCATGGCTTCGTGGTTTCATGGCATGGCTTCGTGGTTTCATGGCATGGCTTCATGGCGTGGCTTCCTGGTTTCATGGTTTTCCTGGTTTCGTGGTTTCATGGTTTCCTGGTTTCCTGGTTGGTTTCCTGGTTTCGTGGTTTCGTGGTTTCCTGGTTTCCTGGTTTCGTGGTTTCGTGGTTTCGTGGTTTCATGGTTTCATGGTTTCGTGGTTTCGTGGTTTCATGGTTTCGTGGGTTCGTGGGTTCGTGGGTTCGTGGGTTCGTGGGTTCGTGGGTTCGTGGGTTCGTGGGTTCGTGGGTTCGTGGGTTCATGGGTTCGCGGGTTCATGGGTTCATGGGTTCATGGGTTCGGGGTTTGTTTGTTTTTGTGTCGGAGGTTTTGGGTTTGGGTGTTGGAGGTTTTGGGTTTGGGTGTTGGAGGTTTTGGGTTTGGGTGTTGGAGGTTGAGGTTTCCGAAGGGATGTGTTTGCGAAGTTTTATTGCTCTTAATATTTGACAGCTGCCACAAGACTCTACAAACAAAAAACTATAGACGAAAAATGCCTACCCCAACAGCTTAGCTAGGTACTTAATTCATCCAATTGCTAACCGCTTAAACTTCCATAGTGTCCGACTGTCGTTCTAGTTTTTATTAGTTCGCTTTTATTCAAGTCTTGCGCCTCCCCACTACTACTGGAGGCCTTCTCTTATTCTTACTGATAAACAACTTTTTACGTTTTGGGTTAATAGCACCACGGGGGGCCGTTTAGCTACCTGACGGAGACTGTCTATTTTTTCTTTATTGCTTTGCTTCTACATTGATTCAGATTAAAGATAATCGCGCCCGGCTATACTTATCGCACCTCGCTAAAGAAAAACGCTCTACATTCGTACTCAAGGCTAGCACTTATTTAATCCAAATAATACGCTGCAGCCTACTATCTAAAAACTAAAGCACAGCTCTGCGACTATCATCGTGCTCCTTCTCTCTTCCTGTTGCATGATTGTGGAAAACGCTCGCCGGTCCGCTTTTTTATAAAGACGCTGTCACCATTTTGCTGAAGTCTCTTAATTACTGCGCTAAGAATTCAAAAAGGGCGTATTTGCCTTAGCTTCTCGACACACCTCCGCGACCTTTTTCCCCGCGAATGGCATCAGAAACACCAAGCCCAGAGAAATAGGCGCAGCGGGGCGCACTTATCGCCAGACGCTAGGCGGTGCGCTTTTTTCGCCATCTCGAAACGGAGCGCTTTTCGCGCCTTCTCGGGGCGATATGCTATTCACGCCTTCATCTCGAAGCGAAGGACTTTTAAACCTCTTCCCCTGAAGACGGACCGACTTTTCCTCCATCGATCTACCGATGGGATGGATTTTATGCCTTCCCAAGGCGCTTCGCTGCTGCTGCAGTTACTGACTTTCTCCCCCACGCTGCATAGGTTTACAAACGTGTGGCTGACCTTTGCCAGACCTTTCAACTTCACCGATCCCTTGCTTGAACGAATGCCATTTCCCTTCCGCTGATTTCTTTCGCGACTTTATTTTTTTCATGGCTTAGATTTTTATTTTCTTCTTGCCGGTCTTACTTGTTTCAAAGGCCTAACGACACGGCCAGCGACTTGTATATTATGCGGAAGCTCCCATCGATTCTAACTTGATCTAATAAGTTACTTAGTAGGTAACCTAGTGTGCGTGGTAGTTTAGTCTATAGGAAACGAATCCTTGAAGACTGATTTGAAATGAACAATTGCAAGTAAAGGAGCCTTGAATCCCTAAGCTTGGACTCAGGCCACGGGGGGCTACGAGTGCCTGCTTTCAGTACTAGACAGCCGCTTTCTGTCTCACACGCAGTGTTGAGCGACATTATAAATACTAACTGTAGTGAGTAACAGAACGAACTTTTGTGAAAACGTACTATATGAGTATCTAGAGTTTTTTC